GAGACCAGCAGAGACCAGCAGAGACCAGCAGAGACCAGCAGAGACCAGATGAAAGATGAACAGGATTAAGGCCTGCACAGAAAAATGAACTTATAAGGTGAATAACTGATCATCATTACTAAACTCTGAGTCCAGTATGAGGCCCAAACCAGAGCGAGGAGTCTCCTCCTGCAGCGGCGTTCGATTGGTCCCATGAAGGGCCCTCTGATAAAGAGCCACTGGAAATACTTGCACTCGTCAGTGACCTTTCACGGCTCACCTTCAACGCAAGGGCGCCGGCGTGAAGGCGTGTGTGATCTTTAAAGGGAGACTTTGTTTGCCGTGAATAAAATGTTGTATTAATTGATAAAAGGTGTTCTACGTGTGTCAGCAGGTGTACGCAGGTATACTCAGTCAGGTGTGATTCTGTTTCTTTATTCCAAGTGTTATAAATAAATATAGGTTGAATATAATAAATGAAGCCCAGCTGGTGCAGTGAAGTCAAAATAATGAGCAGGTATCTGAAAATACTGACTTTGTGACACTAATTCAACACTTTGAGAGAGTTTTCTCCGTCACACTGGTAGAAATGGACTTTATCTATATTTGTTTTGTAGTGAACATTAAAGAAAAACGACCTGTTTTCTGTTTGTTCCTCTATTTCTTTCTTTCTTTTTCAGACCCAAAGTGACCAACCGGCCCGAGGAGCGAGGGAATAACACAGGGGACATAAATCCACCCCCAGCTGGGCAAACAAGAAGAAATAAATGAATATAAAGTCCTGGCTGCAGTAAAAGAGGAACTATATTTCAGCTTCCTCTACGCGACATTAAACAGCCGCTGTAGCTCCTCCCAGGTCCCGCCTTCTAAAGTCAAACCCGCCTCTGATTGGATCAAGTCATGAGCGAACTCCTCTCCGGCGGTTGCTATTGGCTGCCCCGGAGTGTCACTCCCCGCGCTGATAGCTCGCCAGTGGAAGAGAGGCAGATAACGCTGTCCTCTCCCTCCGCGGGAACGCCATTAAAACGTTAAGACGTTAAAACGCGTCGCACAGCGGAGAAGTCGTTAAGAGAGCTTACCAAAAAAAAAAGTGCCACAACTCACCTGCTAACGCGTTTCACCGTCGTGAGCTGTGAAATCCGCCATGCACCGACACACACTCAACTTTCACAAGTTGACCAGGAGCCCCACCTTGTAGTCGGGACCAAAGATCGTGTGTGTGCGGCGAGAGCAGCCACTCTGGGTACAGCTAGCGGCCGGTGCTAGCGTCGACGTTAGGCGTTACCACGGCGACGGATTTAGCGGTTGCCTGAATATATAGCCGCAAATAAAGGTTTTTTAAAAAAAACAACAAGTGTCCATGCGTTTGTTTTGACATTGTGTTTATTTATATACACTCTTGCGTCAGATGTTGGTATTTTGCCGTGAAATGCGGCTCCTCGTCGCTGGAGAAGGCGGGGAAACAGGCACGGAGTGACTCATCTCACCTTTTAGCTACTCTCTGGGGCGACGGTTGGTAACGTTAACAGGAAGTGACGTCACGGAATTCCTCGTTTTTCTTATTTATTTATTTAATTATTTAAACATACCAACAATTTAAAAGAATATATATATATATATATATATATACATAAATAAAAATAATAACACACAAAATCCCTGTGTAAGTGCATGTTATTTGTTTGTTAACATACCAACAATTTATTATAATATTTAAAAAACAAATAAAATAAAGATTTAATTTTATTAAAGTCTCACAGAAACTGTGTGCAGTGTTTTCTTCGTATGGATATTCACTACGTGCATAAAATAAATAAATCTACAGCTAGTTCACCCTAAACTATTAAAACTGCTCGTTACTTTTTTCTTTTTGGATAATTTGATTCATTGTTATGTCTAAAAATGCATCAGAAAATACAGAAAATTGTCCCTCATACTTTGCCAGAGACCGAACACAGATACAAAAAAATAAAACTTGTGATAAGGCCAAGTGCAGATAGTTAGTTTTATCTAATAAGCAGCTCCTTCTCTAGATAAAAACATCTCATTCTAAGGTCACAAAAACACAACGATCCCTATATTCAGGTGATTATACACTAATGAAAACGTACCTATGAGCTATAAATATTATATTTCTGACAATATATCCTCCTCAATGTTACACACTGGAGCTTTAAGGATGAGAAAGGGCAACAAAAGGAAGTTTTGCTCCAAAACAGAGTTAATTCTTGTAAGAACTGCATTATTTCAATGTCCATCGTTGCTTTTGTCCCCAGTTCTTCCCTTTTTGCCTCACTAAAGTTCCAACTTTAACCTTTTTGTGTCTCCTCTTCTAGTTTTCATGTATTCAGTGATGGAAAAAGTCAGAGAAATGCATGGACATGTTGATATACTGTGATTTCTACAACTATAAAAGCTGCAGCCGCGCTACCTGACGTGCAGTTCCAGTGTTTGGAACAAAGATGGGGCCATTTCATCATCTTTGTCCCACTGCTGCTCACACAGAGTGAAGATCTCTGACTGATCATCCACATCCAAATGACCTTCGAGTTGGAGAAAACATGTTTTGTCTTTTCGACTCATTTTACACATTTATCCCCAAATTAAGGCCGACATACTTCGTACCGTTGGAAACTCAAATAACTCAAATTCAGTGGACAAAACAACATGTGTTGTGAATCTATCCTGTCACAATAAGTTGAATCTAACGGGGTCACGTGAGGGGAAAAACAGATCCGACCTGGTTCTTTTTACACCTCCTGTTGTTTTGCCGTATGATAATCACCAGCTGAAAGGTCAAAGGCCACCTCGGCTCTGTCTGCCGCTGGGTGTCTCGTGGTATGACGAGGCTGATTTGGTTTGGAGTTTTTACTAACAAATGTTGTTGTCCGGACGTCCTGCCATGTCAACTCAAACTGGAGACACTCATTACTCCGAGCTGTTGCGGACTGAGCCGAATTTGACTAGAAAGGCTCAGGTTATTTACATATTTGGACGTCTTTCGGAGGTTTATAAGGAGCTACAACACTTCAGTCATTGTAATTAGTGGATCTAAGAGGCTGCGATGAGAAAGTAACACTGATTGACACTGATCTGCGGTCATGTTCAAAGACTTTTATATCAGCATCTTATCCTTTACAATTGATTAAAGGCGTACATATACTTTTTGCCACACCTTTACATACAAATGTTCGACTCAATTACACTGTAACTTCACGTATTGGTAATTTCATCGCTTGAATCAGCCACAAGAACAAAGCTTCACCAAACTCCATTTGGAAATTGACCATTTTTACAGAAACACACTAAAGTGCCTTAAAAAGTCACCATTAAACTTAGAATTAGAATTAGAATATTAAATATTAAACGCTTCAGTGACACTTTAAGAGACTTTAAGAGCTTTAAAACCACCACTTATACTATCTTACGTAATGTTTTTGGTTCTTTCTAACACAAACACCATAACATGTTACATTACAATACAGAGGAAGGTCTGATATTAAAAAATATAACAAAATACAATTTTATACACAATCAACTGAGCTGGAAAGTAACTAAGTACTGTACTTTACGTGAGTATTTCTATTTCTGCTACTTTTCTACTCCACTTTATTGCGTATTAATATTTTACGCACAAAAACATACGATCACTTTATAAAATATGATACCTAGATACAGATTAAACTACACAAACTTACATTAATAATTGAAAACTAGCTCCACCTTGATCAGTGCTACTTTGACTATAACAATATTCAACCTGACAAACAGTAATACAGGTAATGTAATAATAAATAAAGTGGTAACATTTGTATTTAAAATGCATTAAAGGTGGTCTTACTTAATCAGATAACTTCTGTTCACTCATTTTAAATAGAGGTTGCAGAAATGCTTCAATTAACTGAATGAATTTAGTCAAATTATCTTCATTTAACAATAAATACCTGAGTTATTTGTACTCAAATCATTCTTTATGCTCTTAAGTGTTGGAGGTAATACATTTAAACGCTTTCCTCAAACAAATGGAGTTTTATGGAAGTCCAAAACAGTTAGTTATTATAGTGAGAAACCTTCTCAAAGTATTAACTTAGTGTCTCAAAAGTCAAAATATTGATAAAGTTTCTCATTATTTTGACTTAACAGGAGCAATGGGCTTCCGTAGATTTTACAGTGTACTTTTATTGGTGCTTTTTCTCCCTTCAGGAGTATAATGTAGTGCAATATGAATCCCTTGAGGAATAATTCAGCACCGCCCCCCTCCCTCCCCCTCTCTCTCTCCTTCTCTCTCCTATGGCTCCCGCTCCTCACCACTCCTCCCCATCGCTTCTCTCTATATAAAACTTGGTCTGGAGTCTGCGACGCCAGCATGGAAACCCTCTCGGTTTGCGCTTACGGGGCACACCTCCTTCGTCCTTCCTCCTCCTCCTCCTTCTCCTCCTCACCGTCCTGATTGCGCATCGGCACTCCGGCAGCAGCACAGCGGGAGTCACGACCCAGAAACACATGAAGAGAATTAAATAAGTGAGGATGCTGATGAGCTTTTCTGCGTAAAAAACAAACAAAAATGATGGATTGAACTTTTAAAAATGTCCAAGCGGGTATTCTTTGGATTGCTCTCGGTTTGTGGAATATGTTGACTTCCAGCTGGGTTGATGCTGACTGATGAAACCATGACACGTTTCCTGCTGCTGCCGCTGCCGCTGCTGCTGACAGAAGTGATGCTTTCTGTGTGAGGTTGCTCCAAAAACTCTCGAAGCGCAAAAACACAAAGTCCCCAAGAACCGGAATAAAGAGGACTGTGCTTCCCGTGTTTGACAGGCTGCTGAGACTGACCAAAGACATCCATAAAACGATGTAATAAAAAGAGCTCCTGCACACGCTTTTTTCCCCGGGTGATTGGGAATAACGCCGCACCGACTGGCGTCAGAGCCGAGCCGTTACGCATGGAGACAGCTCGGCGCTGAGCGGATCTTTGTTGCCTGTTCTGATTTCTTTTTATGATTTTAACTCTGACAAAAGAGGGGAAAAGGGTTATTCTACTCCTTCTCGAACAGAAAATGAGTAGCTGTCTCTTCCGACTAGCACTCTTCGTGGCTTGCGTCCTCTCCATCCGCTGCACCGCTGCGCCCGGGACCGAGGCGGAGGCGCACACGGCGTCCCGGGATACCTGCGCGTCCTGCGGCGTCGCTCAGCCGGAGGACCCCGAGTCGGGCCGGCTGAACGTGGACTTCCTGGAGGCGGTGAAGAGGCACATCCTGAGCCGGCTGCAGATGCGGGAGAGGCCCAACATCACGCACCCGGTCTCGAGGGCGGCCATGGTGACGGCGCTGCGGAAGCTCCACGCCGGGAAGCTGCGGGAGGACGGGAGGGTGGAGATCCCCAACCTGGACGGGCACCCGATGACCAACGACGTGCTGGAGGAGAGCTCGGAGATCATCAGCTTTGCGGAGAAAGGTGCGTGATGGAGGCTCGGTGCGCACATTCAGGCGCGTTTTTATGCAGAGAAGTGACACAAATATGACATGTTTGACGAGAAGGTTTGAAGGTTTAGACTCATGTTCTCAAAACAAAGCACAAAAAAGCAACAACAGCCAACTTATTTCAGCTGATTCAGAGAAAAACAAAAGATTTTCAGAGAGAAATGTAAAGATTTTGTTCAGAAGATATGAGTCAGTTCAACCTGGGAGAGAGGAGCTCTGTCAGTTTATGAAGGAGAAGAACACAGAAAAAACAATTTTCCCCTAAAAAAAGAAAAGAGCATCCACTACTGGAGTCAGTTCATCAATAAAAAAACTGTACAATTGAACATGACTGTGCTTTGAGCCGGTTGTAAGCTTTATGAAATCCAATATGTGAACTGATATCTGAGGCCTGATGCTGCAGGGAGATAGAGTGTGAGTGTGTGTGTGTGTGTGTGTGTCTTTATAGAAAGACTGAATGAGAAACAACCCCGGTAACTGATGTTGAACAGATGTTGATGCAAGGGTCTGAAAACCCGCCAAAATAAAAGCAGAGATATCACTTCCCAAAAGCTGCATTCATTCAACTTTTTACACTTTCTCTCACTTTGTTGGCCCTCTGAAGTCAGGAAAAACTGTCCAGTAACAAGTGCAGATTCAATTTAACATCTTGTTTGGTTTGACAACTGAAGAATTAAAGTTTGTGACGTTGCAGGAAGCTTTTCGTTTGTGGTTTCTGTTAACAAACTTTGGAAAGATGAAGATATCGTCAAGAAGGAGAAAATTGCAAAACATTTGAATGTAGTTTGGTTGGTGGTGAGCTGATTCGATTTTGTGGTTTCTTTCATTGGCTGCGTTCATGTGCTTGAGACAAAAGTTGGGATTTCTGGCTTCTCCCCCAGTGTTGTGTTCACTGTCCTAAAAGAAACACAAACACACACAAACATGAACTTGGGCAGTTCTGCTCGGTGTCGGCGGAGGTTTGCTCCCCGCTGGGATCCTTTTCACTTTCAGATGTTTCTCTCTGTGGCCACTGTGTCGCAGGGCCTTCCACCTCGGTGCAGTCCCCTTTGCCAGTTGGCCACGTTACGGCGCCGAGCGGGCTGTCAGCAGGGACGTGGCACGGCGACAAGCCTCAGAACAGTTTACTCAGAGGCGGCTGAAAAGGCCTGAAAATGATCAACGGCACCACCTGCTTCGCCCACGTGCGACGGCGCTCGGTGGAAACATCTGCTTTTCACGTCTACAAATCTCCCTGTTTGTGTTGTAGTATTTGTGTCTTTGTGATTGATGTGTGTCTGCGTTGGCGTGTACATGCAGCTACATCCAGGATATTGTGTGTGTGTGAGTGTGACATGGCAGGGTTGTGTTGAATCAGTCCCCTCAGTATAAGGTCAGAGCTTTTGTGTCGGCCGTCGTGCGGCCTGAATGCAGATTGACGGGCTGAACCCTGCAGCCTGGCACCCCATTAGAATTCACAGTGTGTGTGTGTGTGTGTGTGTGTGTGACTTGAGTGCACGGTGGTGGGTTCCTTGCAGGCTCTCTGTGAATGAAACTTCTGTGCAACGTTTGGGGTTTGTGTTGTTGTTGTTTGTGCTGCTGTTAGCCTCCACATAATGGGACGTTTTGCTGAATGCTAGCTGTAGGTACCTCAAGCTTAAAGTTTAGTTTGGCTGCTGTGGAGCTTTCAATCACATTAAATGATCTTCATCAGCAGGTGGAGGTTGTTCAGATTTTGTCCGATTCAACACCTGGTTTGGTTTGAAAACTTAAGAGATGAATTAACGTTTGTGAAGTTTCAGGCGGCTTTTAGAAAGAAAAAACTGCAAGAAATTCGAATGTAGTTTGGTTGGTGGAGAGCTGATTACATTTTCTTTCATTGTGAGTTTAAGCATTGCTGTGTTCATGTGCTCAAGACAAAGCCCGGATTTCTGGCTTCTACCCTAGTGTTGTGTTCACTGTCCTAAAAAAAAAACCACACAAACATAAACTTTGCTCAGTGTCGTAGATCCAAAGTTAGCTGTTTACATATCCAAGAATTGAACATTTCAAAGTACGTTTTTTTAACATAATTTATAGTCAAATGAGAACAATTGCAACAAATGCAAAATCTAGTCAAGTCAGTTTTAGTTGTGCAGCCAAGAATCTTGAATTTGCCTGAGAGGGTTTTACAATTTACAAACTGCGACCACAAAGCCCCAACAACCCACTCCACCAAACACTTAAAGCAAAGACATTTTATAGCCGTTATATTGTCTGAAAATTGTTTAAATGAAGCTGTTCTTTCTATGAAATTCCTCTGCAATTAGGAACCTAACAAGCTGAACTCACACTACAGTTTACAAAAGAAGTTTTGGGGAATTATTCCTAATCTTCTTTCTCCTATGTGGATATAATTGTATGCAAAATACTGAATCTTTTTATATTTATTTTGCTGAACTAAAAGCAAATTTACACGTCATTGCTGAAATTTCCAAGAAAATATTGTCAAAGGAAGCTGTGGCAGCGGTTGTGATGATTGTATATAATCGTTTTTTTGTGTTAAGACGCAGATGTAAAAAGAATCATTACCCGTTTTTGAAAAAAGAGAAGGAACTTGTACTTAGTCGTAGTAATGCGCTTTACTTCCCCATGTCAGACCAGTGTTGTGGCAAAGCTGGCCTGAGTCAGCGTGTGTGCTGAGACTAA